ATTTTGACATGAATAATTATACGCGTATTCATGTTTACATAAATAACTATTAATACCCTATATTGATACAACATGATTAGACATGTGAACATGAATTGTGTTAAATGCGTTAATCATTATTCGTGTTTACAATCGTGTCATGTCTAGAAAAAAATTTTAATACATTTAATAAATGTGTTGGTCGTGTCGTGTTACATAGTTAAGAATCGTATTTGTGTACGTGTTTTAGATTTTGACTCGAATAATTATTCATATTGTGTTCATGTTTACTAAATTAATCGTTAATACCCAATATTGACATGACATAATTAAACACGTGAACATGAATTGCCACCCCTAATGAGGCATTTGGAAACCCCCAAGTGATATGGTCGAAAGGTTGATTTGAACCTTTGTGGCGTGTGCGACACATAAGTGTGCTATTGGTCTAAGCCCTCCATTGGCTTGGACTAGTCACAAATTCATAGACCGTGACATTCTCTCTCCCTTGATTCAGGCAGCGCCCTTGTTCCCTTGTGGTCTTTCTCCACCTTAAGTCTTCTTCGAGATCCCCATTAGCTTTGTGGATTCATTTGAGACAACTTCTCGTTGGCTGTTTCGAGAACACTTTCAACTCTAGATATATCTATTGTAGTAATGCAATGGATCGTTTTAATTCCTACACTAGGGGTGCAATTCCCTAAGCAAATCATTCTTCTAAATTAAGCCATATTTCGTTTATAGTATCCACATGGGCAAACCTAGTTTGTAACTCCTTAAAAAATGAATTGATGAGCCATGATTTTATCACCATTTTACAGTATATCCAAGATTAGAAATCCCCATAATTGACATCCAGTTTTGCTATTAATCCATTTATGCATTGGATCCAAGATTGGAAATCTTTGAAATTGACTTAACGTTTTGCTATCAAACTATTGATGAATTGGATCCAAGATTGGAAATCCTTAGAATTGACATCGGGTTTTGCTATTGGTCCATCCATGAACGAGATCCAAGATTGGAAATCCTTGAAATTGACATCGAGTTTTATTATCAATCCATCCATGAATCTTTGGACCCAAGATTGGAAATACTCAAAATTGATATCAAGTTTTGCTATCAGTCCATCCATGTAGATCCAAGATTGAAACTCTCCAGAATTGACATCAAGTTTTACTATTAATCCATCCATGAACCATTAGATCCAATATTGAAAATCTCCAAAATTGACATCGGGTTTTGCTATCGATCCATTCATGAATCCCATCTTGTTCTTGGATTTGAGAGCAGTTAAGAAGTTACGCCTCCAAGTGAAATAATTATCTCTAGTTTCTCTCAGAAGTTGTGTAACAAAAATAAGTCTGAATGATCAGATGAAGGCAAGTTGAATGAGGATTTGTTATTGATTGTGATGTTTTACACATTCGTAATGGGCATTAAACCTTTTTGAACATAACTTGCAGCATTGTCTTCCACGGCTGAAGAAAAGGTAGGTTAAGAAATTTGTCTGACACCATGAAAAATAAAATATATGAAAAGAATGAAGTTAGAAAATCCCTACTCAGTTTAACAATGAACATAAAAGGACTCTTTATAGAGATAACACATCTTAGATTTACTTGTAACACAAGTAAATAAAGAAGTATTCTAATCTTAGACATCCTTAGGGTGCAACTAGAGTGAAAAGACAATAAGAAAAGATTACATTAGGAAAAAAAACTATCCTATAATATATACAATGATACAAGTAAAATAAAAGATCTTAAATTAATTCTCCTTTAGAGAAAAAGAAAACAAAAATGAAGAAAAGAGGATGAACCTTCATCAAAGAGCTTAAAAAGAGAGAAAAATCAACACAAAGGGCTTTCAAGGCTTGCAGATGTCTAAGAAACCATATCTTCAAGAACAAATCATTGAAGATCCATTGGATGGTGTGAAGATTAGAAGAGTTTTAGGGAAACGTGTGAGTTGTGGCCTTTACAAGTGGAACCAATTAAAGAACTACGAAGAGGTAGAAAAGGGAGAAAGTTGAGTGATAGCCATGCAAAAAGAACTAGGTCAATCTTAGAGGAACAAGTTTAGGACCTTAGTTTTAAGATCAACCCACCATTCCATCATTGGAATTAAGTAGATGTTAGGAAATAAGATGGATGAGTTGAAGAATATTGTAAGAAATAAAGTAGATTAGCACAAGGGTATAACTAAAACAAAAGTATTGACTTTGATGAAACTTTTCCTCCCATGGCTAGAATAGAAGATATTAGCTTATTTCTTTCTTTTGCATTTCGTATGAATTTCAAACTCTTTCAAATAAATGCCAAAAGTGCACTTTTGAATATCTTTATTCAAGAAAGGGTAAATGTTGAATAACCTCTTGATTTTGAAGACTTGTAAATTTCAAAAATTTATATGGTTTGAAACAAATTCTTTAGTATGAAAAACTTTCATACTTTTTAATGGTCAAAGGTTTTCAAAGAGGTGGTTGGATATAACATTTTTTATAAAGAACAAAAAGGATTTTTCTTGTTGATCAAATCATGAAAAATTTTTCTTAATTGAGTTTGGATTTCTTCCCTTGAAAGTTTTTAAGTTTAGGCCTAAACTTGCATATAGATGAAAAGAATACAAGCTTGTGCTCGAGCCAACTGTGAGCCTCTCATCCTTTTCTAGCATGCCATATCTAATCATTAATGATTAAGGAATTTGATATAACCAGGTGATTCACTGCCTCTCTTTAACTCTAACTTTATGTAATAGTTCAATCTTTAAACTAATAATAATAATAAATGATTAATTACATATTTAGTACTCTTATGATAATCAAATGTTCAATTTGGTTTCCAAAACTTACAAAATTTGCAATTAAATTTAAACTTTGCTTCCATTAAATAATTTCACTTAAAAGTGACAAAGAAATAATCAATAAGAATGTGCCATGTTTCTAATTCTTATTGGTTATTTTATCACGTCATCTATTTGAGTAACGAAATTTATAATGTATTTATCGAAAGTTGGAAACTTATCAACAATTTATATTCTTCAAGTACATACCAAACTGATATTTTTGTTATAATTTGTGTATCAAACGTGTAATTAAGCCTATAATATAATCTTAAAATTTTGTTTCCCTCATCGTACCATGCACCACTGCTGTTAATGGGAAGGAAAGAAACAAAGGGAGTGAGAGATGTCAAACATGGTAGACTACTCTTCTGTTGAAAGCAATGACTAAGGTTAGGAGTGGTAGGAGTAGCTTCATAATGAGCCAAACCAAAGTCATGTGAAGATGTCAATTTTGTGGATGTATCCTGGGAGCAATGGCCATTAGGCTCCTTCCGGGCAGCAGGGCATGTGCTAGTGTATGCAAGTGCCATTCAATTTCAAGTGACCCACCAGCCGTGCAGGGCAGAGTCAATTATTAAGCACAACAACATGCGAAATCATGGTGGCAGAAACTACTCAATTAGGAGATCTATTAGAAACTGATTTCAAAATAAATAAATAATACTCATTGGATTTGAGTGTTGGCTTCAAGATATATAAAGTCCAAGCTTTGTGTACTCTAGCTGAAAATATATATACCAAACCCTTCTCTCTCTTAATTTTGATTCAAAATGCTTTAAATACTAGATTAATCACTTGAACTATCTTAAAGTTGTAATGTTACATTCAATGACGATTTTCTTTTAATTTCATATAGGACATGACTTTGGTAACATTACCTGGCAGCTGGCACTCACGTGATTCAACTCTTATCAACAAAACCAAAATCGATACAGACAGCAGAACGAATTTTATTGTATCATTCTCTTCTCTGAAGACAAAAAAGGTACTAAATTGATAAGGAAACAAACAAATCAAGTGAAATTGATAAATTATGGTTAAAAGTTTTCCTTTGCCTTTTAACATTTGTGCTTCAAAAATGGTGAAACAAGGTTTAGTTCCTCTTGTAAAAAACGTAGCTCTACTTGAACATAAACTAGGACTAAAGATGGAGTTGAGATATTTTCATTTTTTTTAATGAACATAATATTCTAAACAATTTTTGAATTATTTAAAAAACTTTAAATAAATCTTTAATTTTTAATTACATTCTATCAAATTATGTATTTTTGTTTTAACTTTTGACTCAAATAAATTTTTATAATTAACATTCAATTAATTATTATTAATCAAAATATTAATTATTAATTTCTTATATTATATACTGTTGACATAAAAAAAGTGAAATGTCACATTATCATGCCATAATATCACGTTAGTAGTCATTATGTTATGTTATCATATAAAGTCAACATTACGTGACATAAAATGATAAATGACGTTTTGATTAATAACAGCCAATCAATATTAATTATAATAATTTATTTGATTCAAAATTTTTATTAAACAAAATAAAAAATAAAAAATTATTTAAATTTTTTTCATTAATTAAGAGATTTTTTTAACTATTATAATTTTTTTTTTATATGTTATCTTTTAATATTTTAATTGTCATCATTCATCTGTGTGATTAATTATGAATCTTACACATTTGAATTATTTTATATAAATAAAATTACTTTTATGTATTATTTCATTCTTAATTATTTATCTTTCATGACTTTCACATATATTAAGAAAAAATTTTGATATTTTGATATATTTCATATTATAAATTCAAAATTGTTTTATACAATTAATTACAATACTTTTTAAAATAGTATGGAATGAGTAATATGTGGAACAAAAATTTAGAAAAAGCGAAAGGCGTTAGCTCTTTGACCGGCTTTTCCTGTAGGATGGCAGATTTGTAGTACGTGCCCTAGCTTTTATCAAATAACAAGAAAGGCGCAGATATGCGTGCCCACTCCTGCACTCTTTTCGTGACGTCCGGCGCCAATATTAACAACTCTTTCCCCAATCAAAAAATGCCACGTTACCCAAAACAGAAGAACAGAGTAGATGCTGTCGCACCAAATTAGTCGTTGAAAGGCCGGAAATGGTCCAAGGAAAGTCTCGAGTTTAAGCATTTTCAATTTTCAAATTTGTCCAACGCTTTTAAGTGCTATTATGTTGTAGATCTATCTAACATCCATCTATCGCTTCACTCCTCAGACAAACAAGAAAATACACGACCATTTTCCGCTGTGCTTTCTTTCTCGCAATGCCAGCGACTGATGCAGCCTTGGATCTTCGGGTAATGATGTTTTTTTCTCAAAACCTAACCAGAAATGAACTCCCTGTTTTGCTCTCTGTGCCACTAACTCTCTCTGTTTCTTTTGTTTTTTCGCAGCCGGCTCCGCACTCGGCCTTCTCTATTGGGTAAGTTCATTATTCTACCAAAACTTCTCTCTGTTTACAACTGTTTTTAAGGAGTATTGTTATCGGTGTGGTGGTTCAGAGAGTACACATTTGCGGATGCTGGAAACTTGGAGCACTGTGCAAAGTACTTGAACCAGACGCTCGTTACCTTCGGCTTTCCAGCGTCTCTCGATCTCTTTGCCAATGATCCGGTGCGTCTTTCTCTTCTTTTGTTTTTGTTCTTTAAAAAAATTAATTTATGTGATCTGTTATTAAGGAGAGTTAAGGATTTTGTTTCATTTTTATGTGATAGGTTTCGATCGCAAGGACTTGCAATTGCATTTATTCATTGCTTCAGCAGAGGCAGCGCGACATTGAATTTAGAGAGTCTGCTAATGAACAAAGACAACGGTAATGCTTTTCCCTTTCCATTTTCGATTTTTATTTTATTTGATTTTTCAAATTTAGTAATTCATTTTGGGCCTCGGAGTCGCTTTCCTTTTGAGCTTCAGTTGTTTTGTGGAATGAAAACCTATAAATTATGGCACTATATCTTTATTTGTTTATTTAATAAAATTTGAGCATAGTTTGGTGCACTTTTTCTCTGTACCTGGTTTAATTTTGATTGAATGTGCAGGAGTAATTTGATTTCAGTTCTGTGATTGGTTTTATATCAGTATTCTAAGATTAAATTATGTACTGGATGGATATTTCTACGCAGAATTTAATGAAGTTTTTTGGACTAATATTTGTTTTCCCCTCTCTTTTTTTGTTTTGTTTTTGTTTGCATTTTCTTCATGTAGTTTGTTGTCGGATATATCAAGATTAGAGGCCAAAGTTGAGAGGCTTGAGGCACAGTTGCAAGCTAAAGATAGAGAGATAGCAACAATTACCAGAACGGTTTAAAACTTTACCTTTTTTATTTTTTGTATTATTATTATTATTATTATTATCATTATGTTTGGATGTGTTAGTTTTAAATCCTATTCAAATTAAGGAAACTTATAACAGTGCTTTATAATTTAGGAAGCCAAAAATACAGCAGCCTTTAAGGCACAGATTGAGAAGCTACAGCAAGAAAGGGATGAATTTCAGAGGATGGTGATTGGGAATCAGGTTAGGCATATTTCACTTGTTTGGAGTTCGAATTTCGGTTTTTTTTTACTAAATGGAAAGATTTAAAGTTCTTGACTATTATTGTTTTTACTTGATACTACAAAAGCAAGTGAGAACTCAACAAATACATGAAATGAAGAAGAAGGAAAAGGAGTACATAAAGTTGCAGGTAGGATCTTATATATTTATTTATTAATCATTTGAGGAGAAAGTAGTATGTCATAAGCAGGAAATATAACTTGCATTTCTCTTGCAGGAGAGACTAAACCAAGTCTTAATGGAGAAGAAGAAGGAATCAAGATCAGGAATGGAAATAATGAATTTGCTTCAGGTATTAATTGCACTAGTGCCAATTGTACTACTGAGAGAATGTAAATTCTATGCAGCTAATGGAGTTTAATATACATGCAAACAGAAAGAAGGGCGGCAACGTGGAACTTGGAATGGGAAGAAGGCAGATAATGATTTCTACAAAAAGATTGTATGAAAAGTGATTGAGTTATAAAGAAGTTGTGGCCTCCATGAAATTATGTTTAACAATTTGCCATCTTTCAGGTGGATGCCTATGAGGCAAAAAATCAAGAATTGATTGCAGAAAATGCTGATTTAAGAGCATTATTGCGATCAATGCAGGTATATGCTAGTTATTTTATCCCTCTTGTCGTACACTAATCAGATTTGGCTAGAGAGGAAGTTAGGATTATATTGGAAAGTAATTTTTTGTCTAGATATGGTGTTTAACTTTTTTTAGTATGGAAAGATTAAACTAGATTAACCTTAGCTTTGTCACATGGAAATATGAAAATGGATTCACATTTTTTTTCCATGCTTTACAATTTGCCAATGATGCGAAGTTTTTTAAGAAGTCTCACTGCCGCATAATGGCCATATACAGCTCCTAATATCTGTTCGAGAGTAACAATGTTATTATCCTAATATCTGTTTCATTATCATGTTATTCTGTGCATGCTGTTAGTTCACTTCTCAGAATTTCTACTTGCCTTTCGTTTTCCTCTTTTCCTGTTTTCTGTGAAAGTGTTGTGTTCATTTTGCCATTCTTTGAGTAACTTTGCCTGTTGGACTAATTTATGAAATAATATTCCCCCCAAAAAATGTAAAGTTGGATGGATCTAAAAGGACTTGGATGATTGCACAAGATTGTAGCATAAGAAACATGAAAGAATAGAAGAAATGAGAAATTCAGTTGTTCCTTGGTTAGTCAATGGTTTTAATGTTGAGTACTGCCCTTTACAATATGTGGGCAATATTTGATGTTGATGATAAAACTTAGTGCTCCGAGTATCAGAATGGTATCTTATTGGTAAGTGGTGATCTGTTATTGTCAGTAATGAATGACTGATGAGCCAATAAATCTTGAATTTGACTCATTAAAGAGATGAGACAAAGACTTTTACATTTTATGGAAACATGCTATGTCTAAATGTTAAATGGTAAGGAAATAAAAGGCTTCAGAAAGACAAGTGTGTGCTATAAAAGGCTTTTCTCAAATGTTAACATTGTGAAGTCAGAATCCGTCAATTATCAGCACCTGGAAACAGTGATCTGCGGTGTGAACGTAATTTAGAAGATTGATAAAATTCATTATGTGTATGCCTGTCTTGGCCTATATATTGTTTTCTTGGCCTTTTGGGTATGTCTACTGCATTGGTAAAATGGAATATTTTGTTACATTATCATATATTGAAGGACATTCAGTATATTAAGATATTTCAGTGAATCTCCTATGGAATCGATATTCAAATTAGCAAGCACACTGTACCTTTTTTGGGCTGTGAAAACTATCTACACTGATATAGAGTTGTGTTGGCCCTTGAAGATTTGGATATTTTATGTGCTTGATGCATCCCAAGAGTAAGCATGATATTGCAAATGTCACACTTGTCAGTTCCCTGGTATATCATTATTCTTGTAAGGAGCATAACAATTCATAACGGGAGTGTATTGTGATGGGAAATTGTTGTAGATATGCTTCCTCCAATACTTTATCAGATTTTGCATGTTATTCCAAGTTTCCTTAGATATTGTTTTGGTGTTATTTGTAGCTCCTGGTATTTAATTTTCCTCGTTTTGTTTTTATGTCCATGAATTCTGACAGCAGTTTCATTTACAGGTAGATATGCGTGATTTCTTTAATGCCCCAAATGGTTTGTCAAAGCAATCCTTGCCTGTCAGTGAAAGACTTGAAAATGATCCCTCACAATCTCCATTGGTTGGGAGGACGGTATGATTTATTATATGAAGAAAACTTGTTAATTTTCCCAAAAGGTCAGGTCAAGTGCTGCTTCTAAGCTGCTGGTTTATTGTTTACAGGATGTCTTTGACCTTCCTTTTCACATGGCTAGGGATCAAATAGAAGAAAGTCTTCGCACTAAGATGGCTTCTATAAAGGTACTTTCTCTCTCAGCTCTCTTTCTTAAATTTTAGTAAATAACTGTTATAAGATCATAAACTAAGATGGATGTGGCAAAATTTTGACATATATCGTTTTTTCATTTCTTTGTTTCAAGGAGCGCATGGTTCAATTACAAGATGCACAAAAAGGTGCAGAAGTCACTTCTGAAGCAACAGAGAGGGAGCTTGAGCTTGAAGCTCAACTTGTTGAAGCAAGGAGCATAATCCAGGAGCAGGTAGTGTACTTTCCAAGTTTTCCAATCAGAAAATGGATGCATTGTGTTAATGAATTAATTTGAGTGGTATATACATAATTTGATCAGGTTTCCTAGCTGGACTGTTAAGCATTCTGCACTAGCCGTCCTACATATTTAGTTACAGTTATGATAGATTTTGCAAGAATCTGAGTTCAGCATATTTTCTCCCCTTATACCATAGAGAGTTAGAGATTCTAACTTTTGATGTATGCTAGCATCACATGACATCCCCTCAGTGTTATAACTGTGCTTGTCAGAATTTTGGTGCTATTGTTTTATGACTAAACAAGACTATCTATTTGACAGTCGAACATTCTGAATACATAGTCTTACTATTGGAGTTTTGTTTATTTTAGAGAAGATTTTAAGAACTCAGTTAACCATCTTTTAATCATTTCCAATTCATTGAGCTACAAATTTGCTTTCTATCCTTCAATTTTTTTATTGAACTTTTGCACGCATTCAACTCAAACATCCAGAAAAGTTAGTAATATTTACTTCCAAATTGCACTTGTCTTTTTTTTTTTTTTGTTCTTGTTTTTAGATATTGATAGAAATATAACAAGGGGTCTTATTGCAGGCATCCATTATGTCCAAACATCTTGCTAAGGCAGACAGACCAAGGTAGTTCCAACGTTTCTTGTTTTGCTGTGGAGTCTATGTGTCAAATAGTTCTGTTATTATGTGAAGAACTAAGTGGCTGTTTGAAATTTGAACAGGGAATCTATTATTTCATCACCAGCTGAGGTATAACTTGATATTTCCTTCTTGAGAATTTATCCAATGTGATTTCTTTTTATTCTGTTTTCCATCAAATTGCTAGTTTGATATCTCATTTTTCCTGATGCACTCTTTTGATCTATTAGGTTTTTCTTGTTGAGACTTCATAGACTGCAGTTTGTTTAGGAGTAGCTTATGATGGGCTTACATTCATGTAGGTGATTTTTCTTTGGTCTTCTGTCTAGGAATATTATGCTTCTAGATTGGTCTATATTGCTAAAAATATGGTGACTAATGTAGAACTCAGACCCCTGTTAAAATGATAAGGAAATTTTATTTGGATGCAGAACATAAAAGAAACTCCTTGCTGCTAGGCGACCCCTTCCCCCCTACCCCACTGTTTTCTTGCTAAAGCTTTGAAAAGTAAGAACCTTAAATTCAATAAAACTTTTTTTGGGTCAATAAACAGGGACAATTTTCAAGAAAATATGAAATAAAACCTAAACTTGCAACACCGTTTAGACAGCTATTAGTGCATCCCAATCTAACAGATGTAGAGTTGTAGTCCTCATAAGTGCACATGTACCCTCCTGTTTGGCCCTTTCCTAAGGCTTTGTCAATCTTTTTTGAAGATGTAGTGTTTTTTGAAGATCAAAGAAGCTGCCATGTCCAAGAACATGTGGTGATGCGTAGTGTCTCAAAGAGCTTCCATTTATCTGTATTTTCTTCTCCAGAAGAGTCATTGTACATGTGGCAATCCTGCCTGCCCTTACATAAGATATAGGACATCTCTAGCATGCATGATCCAGACATTTTACACACCATTGCAATTAAATTCTTGGCAACCTTGTCTGCTTACAACCTGATGTGAGACAACCCTTGTTATGTTTCCAATTGTTAGGTTTCATGCTGTTTGTGATTTTGTTATGCCGACTTTATCTTAATTTTCAGGGAGTATAACTTAGGGAGCCCAACCGCCATGAATTTTCGGATTAAGACCAACTGAAGTTGGTTCGTTTTAAAAGATGCGTGGCAGGGAGTGAGCAAGCATGTAAAGCATTGAGTCCTGTATGGTGTATTCGGTTTGTAGTAACTACATTTAAGGCTTTCTTCTAAAGCTGTAGTATTAATGTAATTGGCAAGCATACAGTTGGCTAGTGAGAGAGATTTGTCTATCCATTGTATCAAGCTGGTTAATTAAAAGAACAACGCCTATCCACACACACAAACACATGCTTGCAAAGTGCAGCCTAACTCCTCGGTTACTTCTAGAAGATGACAACTTTCATTACTTTTGAGTCTGAAACAGTGAAATTAAAACTTAATTTCATATTCCTAACGGAAAATGCCAACCGGAAAGTTTGAAACTGTTGAAGCATGGAATTTTTAACATAGTTTTGCACATAAACAAGGCATTTATTTATGTGAAACCAATCATTCATTCATTTTTGTGCCTAGCAAGTTAAACATTTGTACGTAACGTTACCAAGTTGCAGAAATTGGTAAGTTAGGATGTAATTGTCCTGTAATCAAGGATAGTTTGTTTCGTATAAATTGATTTTTATATATAGACTTCCCCTTTCTTCTAATATTTGGTTGCCCAAAAATGAAATCATTTGATAATCAACGCAAACTAAATCTGAAAATATGGAAATTATCTTTCATTTTACAAAAATAAGACACAAATCTTCATACTAATCAAATACATCAAACAAACTTTCCATCTAACTAGACTTGTATTTAATAAATAATTATTTTTATTTTATTTTATTTCAAGAATATATTTAGAAATATTAATATACAAATATTTTTAATATCTTGATAATAAATATAATTGTATTTATATTTTTATTATAATGTAATAACCATACTCTTTTATTTATTTAATAATAAATGTTTTATATAATATATTACTATTTAATTAATAGCATTTTAATATTTAATAATATATATTACTACTTATTATGGGATAATAAATTTTTTAAAATTGTACATAATAAATATCAATATTAAAATATTTATATTTTTAAATAAAAGGTATTTGAGTAATTATGTCTATTATTATTTTGATAGGAATGCTATTTTTTTTTTAAAAAAAAAGCCAAATAATGAAAAAAAACCATTTTCAGGAAACAAAAGGGTTGGTTTGTTTGCCATGGAAGTTAGTTTGGCTGCATTGGTATGGTGTGTTTTTGTCAAATAAATCTTGAGTAGCCAATGTTGCATGCATGAAGCTTCAAGGCAAAGGAGAGGCAAAGGGTTTAACTTTCTTATCACGAACCAACAGCCACTAACAAAAATGCTTAAACCTTAAGCCAATGTAATTAAAAAGCAACCTTTTACCATAAAAAACATCAATGGTTAGATTTTCATCCTAAGTTTTCAAAACAGTTTCTTTTTTCTTTCAATTATGTCCTTTTATCTTAAATTGGATTAGGAAATAGATTTTAATTATTGAAAAAAGCTCTTAATTAATAAGGAACATTCAAATAGGTCCTTATTGCACTTAGTCGAGCCTTTATATTTTTATTTTAAACAAAATAAATTTTTATATTTTTATTTTGAGTCAAATAAACTCTTATAATCAATGGTTTATTTATTCAAGATGTCATTGGTCATTCTAAACTATGTGATATTAACATAGCACTAATGTGACATTATTGTGGCATGTTGACATGTTGAATAGATGATGATGTGATATGATAACATGATCATATTATATTTTTCATTATTTACATTAATCACACATCAACGTCACATGAACATCTTAATTAACGTTAATTAATTAATTACTAATTATAAGAACTTATTTGATTTAAAATAAAAAATTTAAGAGCTTGATTGAATGTGATAAAAAAATAAAAATTTATTTAAATTTTATTAATAATTTAAACTTTTTTCACATATTATGTCCAAAAAATCATGAGCAATGCATGTGGGAGAAGCATGCATAACAAGATATTTAATTAATAATTCAGAGTCAACAATCTATCCTGGTCAAATTGTATTTGCTTAAGTAGGAATAAAAAAAAAAACAAAAACTGACACTTGCAATTTTTTTGGTGTGACTTAATTCGCATTCCAATGGGTAAGCTTTGACTTCTCTATGATCAGACAAACTTTGATCTTCAAATAAAAGTGACTCCAATTTTCAATAAATTTCAAAAGAATTCTATAATTTTTTATTCATGTTTCAATTTGATAACGAGCTTTTCAATTTTACAATTTTGATAATTTCTTTCTATCAGAATCTTTGTAATTGTTCGTAATCAATATTGTTAGTTTAATTTTTTTAAAATAAATATTATGAATTTAATTTGTATTCGAACATTTAATTTATTAGTTAATGTATTATTTTTTTATTAAAAAAATAAAGTTCGAATCCCTTTATTCTAAACATATATAAAACAAACATTGTTAATTTAATTTTAAACCCTTTTTAAACCAAATCAAATCCATTTATTCATATTTGTGAATTTGTTCATGTTGTTCTAAATCATTTAAAATTTCTAATCATCCAAATCATCGTTTATTGTTCAAACACCCTATTCTAATGGTTAAAATTTGAAACCTCTTTTAAAAAAATCTTAATTTTAAATCTTGGAAAAGGAAAGACGAGGTTATGGGTTGGAAATAACTAACTTCCTTCGTGTAACTTAAATTTAATAGAGGTCGTCAAATATTATTAAAAAAAAGGAAAAGGATAAATTTATTGCTAGAAACGTCTATTAGTGAGATTACTTGTGAAGGTTGTGAGCTTGATCCAATTCTTGGGCTTTGATACGATTTTTTTGACCCAAACTTAACCGAATAACATTAATATATTTAATGAATAATATATATTGTAATTGTTATGAAATAAATATGAAAAGAACAATTATAAGAAAAATATAAGAAAAAATATTTAGAGGGAAAAAAGTATTTAGAGGGAGTAAGAGGATTTTATTCAGGTATATATTTACAAATGAAGTGAAAAAGTCTATTTATAAGCTAATAACCTCTTATTTAGATTAAATTTACAAGATGAAGATAACATTGAGAGATTAGATGGATTAAATCTTAATCCAATCTAATTTACATCAAATCTAGATATAGATAACATAAATGGATATTTACAAAAATATTTATAATACTTCCTTTTGGAAATCCATTGTATTAAGAATATGCTCATTAAACCTTGCTAGGAAAAAACCTCATAAGAAAAAAAAAATTCTAGTGAAGGAAAAAGAGTAAATAATCTTTTCAAGAATATGCTTTTGAAATACTACTTTATTAAAAACTTTATCAAGAAAAGCTCAGTAGGAAAAACCTTGATGAAGGAAAATAGTACTATACATATTTTATTCCTCCTGATGATTGTATTATAGAGATCTTTAAAATGATACATCCAACTTTTCAAATGTTACAATAAGAAGGGCTTTAGTAAATAAATCTGCTAGATTGTCACTTGGTTGAATTTGTTGAATACTTATTCCACTCTTTTCTTGGAGATCATGAATGAAGAAAATTTTAGTGAACTATGTGTTTTGTTTGATCGCCTTTAATATATCTTTCTTTTAACTGTATTATGCAAACAATATTATCACCACATAACGTTGTTGGAATTTCTTTCTTGGTTGACAAACCACACGTTTATTGAATATGTTGAGTTACAGATCTTAACCTGACACATTTACAATTTGCTCAAGAGTTGCTAAAATTTCTGCATGGTTAGAAAAAGTAGCAACTATAATTTAGTCGTACCTCCATATGTGAAAAAGTAATTTGTTTGGGATTGAGCGTTATGTGGATCAGATATATATCCCGCATCTGCATAATCAATTAAATTTAATTTTGATGCATTTGAATAATGTAAGTCTATATCCATTGTTCATCGGAGATGTTAAAGTATATGTTTAATTCCATTCTAATGTCTTTGAGTTGAAAAAGAACTATATCTTACTAATAAATTCACAGCAATTGATATATCAAGTCATGTATTGCTAGCAAGATACATTAGTGCTCTAATTACATTTAGATATGGTATTTCAGGACCAAGAAGTTCTTCATTATCCTCACAAGGTCAAAAAAAGTTTTTTTTTTTAATATCTAGTGACCTCACAACCATTGGTAAGCTCAATGGATATGCTTTCCTCATATAAAATTATTTTAGCATTTTTGCGATATAATTTGATTGATGGAAAAAAAATTCTCTTTGCTTAATGTTCAATCTAAAGACCCAAAAAAAATTTTATTTTGTTCAAGGTCTTTCATCTCAAATTCTTTTTTCAAGTAATCCACGAATTTTGATAACTCTTCAGGAGTTCTAATAATGTTCAATTCATCAATAGAAATAGTAATTATAATAAATTCATATCTAAATCCTTTTATAAAATACATTAGCATATAAGATTATTTCTATAGCCTTCTTTCAACAAATATGCACTAAGGCGATTATACGTCAAATGTTTAGATTGCTTTAATCCATATAAAGATTAATTTAATCTAATCGAGTAAATTTTTCGAGAATTCAAATTTTTGTTCTTCATACAATTTAAATCCTTCAAGATATTGATATCAAATGAGCCTCATAAATAGGCTGTAACTACATTCATTAGATGCGTTTCAATCTTCTCATATATTGTCAAACTAGTTAATATAAAATTGTAATTGCATCCACAATTGAGAATATATCACTTTATATTTAATACTAGATCTTTAAGGAAAACCTTGTGCTACAGACTGTGTTTTATATCTCATAATCTTATTTTCTCATTTTATGTTCGCACAAATAACCATTTATATCTCATTAGTTTTACATCATTTGATGTACGGACAACAAATCCCAAAACTTCATCTTTTACAATTAAATTCAATTCCACTTTGATTGTGTCTTTTCGCATTAGCCAATCATTTATATGTCTATATTTTTCAATAAATATAAGTTCAAGATCTTCGTTTTTCTTTCATAATATTGAGCTTTATGTTATATAATAAATATTATTGACGTTTAGTTACCGGTTCCATTTTTTCTCATCATGACATAATTTATTAAGATCTCTTTATTTTCATTGATTTCAGGTTCCTGAATTTCTTCTAGAATGTTTATCAATTATGTCAGGGATCTCTTATAGAATTTCTGCTTCCTTTTTCTGACTATTTTAAATATTTGCTCTCTTTTTTCAAAGATTTTATTTTTGGAACCAATTGGTCTCAATGCTTTTAGTGTACTTTATCCTATAGAGACATCAATGCTAATAGGAGCATTTGCAGTTGGTATATAAGATTTAGTTATTATTTTAGGTTAGTAAATACGTCTGGTAAAAACTTATTTATTATATTTTGTAAAAGAATTATTTTTTGAACATCAAGTTCATATTGATTTGTTCGAAGATCAAAACTAGATAATGATATTCATTTTAAAAAATTTTCTTTTGCAGCTACTTATTTTTCTCCCCTTAATATTGAAAAAATTGTTTCATCAATATGACAATTAACAAACTTTGTCATGAATAAATCTCCTATTGATAATTCTAAATATTTAATTACAAATGAAGATTGCTATCCAACATATATTCATAACTACCTTTCAGGACCCATTTTTATATATTGTGGTGGAACAATTGAAACATATACCGCACATTCAACAATTCTTGGATGAGAAATATTTGATTCCTAACCATAAACCAATTGTATAAGAAGAGTTTATAATAACTCGATTGGCCTAATGCATATAAATGCTACTGCATCCAAAATGGCATGCCCCCAAGTAGACATTGAGAGTTTGAATTTCATAAGTAATGGCCTGACAATTAGTTGAAAGTGTTTAATAAATAATTTTGCTAGACCATTTTGTGTATAAGTATAAGCAACAAGCTGTTCAATAATTATTCCAACTAATATGTAATATTAAAGACTTGAAATGTAAATTTACTAGCATTATCAAGACAAATAATCTTGATTATATAACTAGAAAAATATGCTTGCAAACGAATGATTGTAAATATCAAATTGCAAGTTGATAATAAGCATATATGTGACCATATAGTTGATGCATCGATTAAAACTATAAAATATTTAAATGGTTCGTATGGTGGATGTATGAATCCACATATAACCTTGAATATTATTCTAAACCGTAGGAAATTTAGTCTCAACTTTAGCTGGTGATGGCCTTATAATTTATTTACCTTCAGAGCAAGCAACATATAAAGTTTATTAGATTGAAAAATCTTTTGGTTTTTCAATGAATGATCATATAGATTTTCAATCATTTTTTTTTGCATCATTATTGATCCGGGATGGTCCAACTAGTCATGCCAAACATTAAAATCATTACTAAACTTCTGATTTACTATAAGTTTTAATTATTCTAATATTTGTGTCGTTTAATTCTGAGAACAAAACAAATAATCTTTTTTTCAACACACACTTTCTACTTGAGATAATGGACGTAATATAGAGGTATTAAGTGTCTCTTTCATTTGTTGTTTTAATATGATATCTATTCAGACGAATATCTTTAAAACTTAATAAACTTCTTTGAGACTTAATAGAAAAAAATACACCCTCTATTACTTTATTCCTCAAGGTAGTAAAATATTAGCTCTTCTGAAGCCTTCAATTAATCTTGTACTACCAGATATTGAACTGACATTGATTTTTTTTATTGTCAAATAGAAAAAATATTTATTGTCTTTAAATATAGTGTGTGGTGTAGTAATGTCCGTTAGACTTATATTTACAATATTGATTTTAAATCTAACAAGATGAATATCTATATTTTCTTTAATAAAATAAAATATATACAATAAGAAATTTACAAATTAACATGAAATAACATTAAATATATAATTAAAATACATAATAAGAGCATATCATTTAAATATAATAAAAACATATTAAAACATCTTCGTAATATAGTTATACTAAAATATATCAATAACTATTAAGTTCATTTTCGGATATTCCCACTATCAATTAAATGATCAATTCCTCTTTCAGGATAAAAAAATCAACAATGGATATTTTCGTTACCAATCATAAAATCAATTCTTCTTTCAGGGTGGATAAATATCGTGATGTGCTATATCAACTTGGCCATAGTTAAAATATCACAAGATATTTTAATTTTTAGTGATGCTTGATAAAATTTAATACCTATAACAAGTACGTAACTAATGGTTTTCATGCCACATTAACGACAATACGTTTTCTATATTCTTTTTATTTTTGTCTTTTCATTATTTATTTACTTTTTGTGAGTTACAAGTATTCATCCACTTCTTGATGTGTTATCCACTTCTGGTGGGTTAGTGGGTTAAGGTATCCATCCACTTTTAGTACGTTGAAATTAATCATTTACTTGTGGTAGGTCACAAGTATACATCTATTTTTGGTGAGTGATTCACATATGATGGGTTATTCACTTTTGGTGAATTATCCATTTTTTAATAGGTTATGGCATTCATCCACTTCTGGTGGTAAATTATCCATTCACTTTTTGTGGCAAAATTATCTTTAGATTTTGATGGTAAAATTATCCATCCACTTTTGGTAATAAAATTATTTTTAAAATTATAATAATGATAATGTAAATTATTATAACGACCTTTTCTATATCCATGATCATAATTATTAAATGATGTGGCATTCATTTCAAGGAATAGATAGATTCATGATTATGACCATAATTATTAAATGATGTCGCATTCACTTCAGAAAATGAACAAATATATAATTTTTTATTAGTAGCTCATTTGTAGTATTTACTTTAAGAAATGAACATTCATAATTTTTATTAGTAGTTCATTTGTCACATTTACTTCAGGAAATGGACATTCATGGTTTTTCATTAATAGTTATACAATAATAAATTCACTTTCCAATCAAGGGACAAAATATATATTATATGATAGTAAAATTCATATTAAGGTTGATTTTTAGGAAATAAAAATACTAAAGAGGTATCAAGTCACTTACTCAAGTTTTTAAAATTAGAAGTCAAAACCCAATTATTGAAATCCTTTTGAAGATTGAAGATAATGAAAACAAAATAATTTCAAAACTTGAGATATCAGAGAGGATCGTACTGATAACGTGTTATGAAATAAATATGAAAATAACAATTATAAAAAAAAATGAGAGAAAATATTTAGAGGGAAAGAAAGTATTTAGATAGAGTAAGATGGTCTTATTCAAGTATATATTTACAAATGAAGTGAAATGGTATATTTATGAGCTAATAACCCCTTATCTAGATTGAATTTACAAAATAAAGATAATATTTAGAGATTAGATGGATTAAATCTTAATTCAATTTAATTTACATCAAATCTAAATATAGATAACATAAATAGTTGTTCATAAAAACATTCATAGTAATAATTAAATTTAATTATAAAATATATTTAAAACTATTAAAATATTAACAAAATTTTTTTTAATACTGGATCAATTGAATTTAAAATGACAAATGAAATCGGGCCAAGCTCAGGCCTGAATCTGAATTTTTTCAACTAGGCTCAGCCCACCAATGGACACCTCTAGTTACTACCTAGATAATAGATAGCGCATTTAGGCCAGCTAAACCATGGAATCTATCTTGGAATAGTTGTATTAAACCTTTCAAACACCCACACTTAAGTATAAAAGAACAATGAATAAGATGAGGAATTAATATTTATTTATTTATTTTAAATCTATATATGCCCTAACATGAAAGACTTGATATTTCAATTTAGTTGGTTAACCACCTCCTCCATCTTCCCACTAGTATATATAACTACACCTCTTTTATTATACAACTTTCATCACATGTTTAGCCAAAGGAAAAACTTCAAAAAGTCAACTAAATCTATACTTAAATTCTTAGATATACATGTACAATGAATCAATGTAAAGGTCTTCCCCAGAATGGGTTGGTTCCTTAGCCATGAGAAAGGCCCTCGATTTGCTCCGGGCCTCCGGGCAATGCATGTTGTTGCCTTTTGGTCTACAAGAGTCTAGTGTAATTTGAGACAAGGTGAAGCAGATGCTATCGTGGCACTTTGGTGGTGGCAAGATATGGGTGATCATCATTTTTAGAGAACACCCTTTGTTTGGAGAGAACAATGGAAGGGTAAATAGAAAGAAAAGTTGGGGCATGTCTTAAGGCTTTGGGAATTGCACATGCTATAGAAGCCAACCAACAACAGACTCAGAAAAACCTTAACGTAATCTTAACAAGAAAGACGTTTATATTCTTCTTTTTATCTTTGATTTGCTTGTCTTGTTGTGTATATCACAAGTATATATTCAAGTCACTCCCAAAACAAGTAATACAAGGACTAAACAGGCTTGAATGAAGATGAAACAAATGTTATCAGAGTTAATAAACAGCTGCTAGTCAACTTTCAAGGCATTAGAAGCATGTGCCTATCGTCTACCATTGTCGAAAACACCGGAAATCAGGACCTTAATCCCTTAAACCTTTCTCTCTGTCTCTCTATGTGTATATATATATATATATATATACCCAATAAACTTATGAACCTGCATTGTACCCTCATCTCTAAACACTCCTACATTGTTTCATATACCTGTGAAAAAGCTTTCTAGTTTCTCAAACAATCAAATAGTTACTTCAACCCAAAAAAATGGACAGGAGAGGTATGGAGAAAGGACTTTCGGTGATTCAAGGTGAAGATCAGTTGTTCTTCAACAAAATCATCTCGAGAACCTCTTCTGTTGGCTACTCTTCTCGGATATATTACTACCGGAGCTCTGAAGGGGTACCCTTTAACTGGGAAATGCAGCCGGGGACGCCAAAGGAACCCCAAAAGGAAGATATTGTTCCGCCACCTAGTCCCCCACCTGCTGTTCTGAGCCTGGGGTTACCTAAGCCATGTATGAACATCGAAGAGCCTAAGCCTTCGATAAGACTAAGGTTCAAGTTTTGGAAGCACGTCAAGAAAAACCACGGAAACAAGAAGCTTCAAGCAGGGCGCAAAGGGGTTCATTTAGATATGACTGATCAGTCAGGCAAGTACTCGAATTACGAGATGTGCAGCTCTGATGATGGTGAGTTTATGGCGTCGCCGCGCATGTCAAGCTCTTTATCTTCATCATCATTCTCTTTCTCGAATGGCCCTTCATTTGGATCATCAAGGTTACCTAGTCCGTCTAGGGACTCATCACTTGACAGGCATAATGGCTGCAGTCCCTTGAATTTTTCTTCAATTCTTGTTCGTGTGCTAAGATCAAGGCGACTTTGATATTATGTGGTTTTAAACTTTGCATAAACTATCAGGCTGGAAGTTAATTTTTGTTGTATTGCATTGTAACATATTAAAACATGCATCCACACCTTCCTAATTAAACATTTGTAATCCATATATATATATATATATATATAGTGCACATTTTTAAGATTCCTCAACATGCTTGGTGGTTTCTACAAATGCTTGACTGGGAATTGGTTATACATAATTTGTTTATAATTACTTTATCTATATGATCTTAAAAAGTAGGGTTTATACTTAGTAGCCCAATTAGACTCTTTAGAAGATTATTATTAAAGTGTAAATTACAATAAACATTCATGAAATTCATCACGTAATGTTTTATTTTTATTCACGATTTTTAAACCTCAATTTTAAAATTCACAAATGTTTAAAATATACTTATTAATTTTCATCAACCAAAATCTATCACCTTAACATCCTGATGGCATCCATGTCGCCATGTGGATATTTGCATGGTAAAATAAATAGATCTAGATACTTGAATGTCCACATGATAAAAGAAGATGGACTAGTCTGATTTTTTCTATTGAGATTTATGTTGCATGAACATCCATGTTACATTAATATGATAGATTTCATTGATTTTTGACAATTTGAAATATTTTTAAAAAATTATGATCTGAAATTTGAATTTCAAAGGTGAAATATAACAAAATGAAATTTTTTTTTTTAAGGTATTGGTTTACATTTTGGTGATTAACTATATTCTTTCATTAATTTGACAAAAAAAAAAAAAAAGAAAAGGACCCCGACAAGTAAAAAAGAAAATCAAGACCTTATGCAATTTTGATGAATTAGCCCAAGTTTGTTATTATTACTTATTAGTTATATTTCTTCGCCTTTTTAGTTTATCTTATATTACATTTTTTTATTATTCTAATATCTATTTATCATTATTTAAATTATATTACTTTTTAAATTTTTTAACAAAAAATGTAGCAAGGTTATTGATCCTAAACCATTTAATGACATTTTCTTCACATAAAAAAAATTTTGACGGATAACTGTTTAGTAAATAGTACAATAGATAAAATAAGTAGCATTTGTGAAGGAGAAATTTTGGCCTTTTTTTATAGGATTAAATACTTCTTAAGAGACACCAAAATAAAAAGTTAAAGGATAAATTTTATCAATTTTTTTAAATAAACAAAATAGTCAAAGTGAAAGTACATAAGCTCTACTTCCAACATTTCTTCTCATAGCTCCTCGATAGGCCCTAATTCATTTTTTTTTCTCAAAGCCCCTAGTTTTTCTAGTTACTTAGATTTATTAGTTATTTTGCAGAATTCATATTGAAACACAATTGCCATCATATATAAGAACCAAAACTAATAGTCAGAATTAAGAGAAAAGTATGACGCGTCTGAGGGTTTACTTTCCAAGAACTCCCCCCCATGGATCCTTGATGATCGGAGTAGGAAAAAAAAAGGATCAGAAATGAAGATCAAGAAGGAGATTGAATAATTATCCATCAAAATCCTTCTTTTCATGATGCTTTGATGTCTTCTGAGGGTCATGGTTTTTTTCCAAAGGAAAATATGGAATTCAATGAGTCTAAGGCTATTGAGTCAAATAGCAAACCGTCAGAGATTGAAGGGGATTATGATGAGAATTATTCATATGGGTTTTTTGAGGGCGAGCCCTCACTTGATATTTCAGAGCCAAACAAGAGGAACTTGCTAGAAAATGGAGTAAATTAGTTGTAGTTCATCTTTTAGGACGAGCCATATCTTACAAAGTGCTTTGTGACAGAATTTTTTCGTTATGGTCTCCTAAGGGATGTTACAAAGTTATTGATCTTGACGATGAGAATTATCTGATTTAATTCTCTTTGGAAGAGGATTACCTCAAGGCATTGTTGGAAGGATCGTGGATGGTGCAGGGGCAGTATTTGATAGTGAAACTAAGGTCTCCTTCCTATTACAGGGTATCTCATAACTTGTCTGTAGTTGCAACATGGATCAGATTTCTCGGGATGCCTCTACATTTCTATCATAAATCTGTATTGAAAAGAATTACATCTATCTTTGGCAAATTGATTACGATAGATTACAACATGGATATTCAAAAAAGGGGAAAATTTGCTCACATTGTTCTTGAGCTGGATCTATCGAAACCTTTATGTGCTGGATTTTTTCTTAATGGCCATCCGCAAAGAGCAGAATATGAGGGCTTACCCAGCGTCTGTTTCAGTTGTGGTATTTATAGTCATGTTAAAGAAACTTGCCCAAGACTGAAAAGTGAACAACCTACTACTAGCCACATTCTGAAGGATGGGGACACCTCACAGTCAGAGCCTTCCCCATTCGGTCCTTGGATGTTAGTATCAAAAAGAAGAGCTAAGAATAGTTTAGTTCGACAAAATTAGTCACGTGACAAAAATGGTGGAAGACTAAATAGTTAGAGGTCAAGAATGATTGATTGGGTGTTATTGATGAAGTGGATGTGACTTCTAAGAATCACATAGTGGAAAAGGGAGGGGCCTCGAAGTTGGGAGTTGTTGGAAAAGTGAAAGATGGTTTGTTGAGTAAAATGAGGAACACAGCTGATCAACAGAGTAATGATTTGGCAGGACTAGTTAATGGTGTTATTAACAACAATGTCTCAGTCCCCGAGATCAATGATATAGCCGTGAGGGTGTTGGATGATAGCACAACGAAGAACGAAACTAGTTCTAAGGTCAAAATGCCTAACAATGGAGACTTTTTCCCACCAACAGAGAATAATGATGCAGTAATATAGGCTTCATCTGAGGAAGGTGATAAATTGCCACAACGAACCATCCTTGATCCCATCAAACATACTGTCGGAAAGGTGGATGCGGGCACTAGTCAAAAACCACTTACAAGTGCAAAAAATTTGAAGACTCATGTGGAAAGAAAAAATGTGGGGTTTTTCTTCAAGAAAAGAATAGTAGACTTCTTAATAAGAAGCCATTGACTAGATTGCAAAGTATGTCGATTAAAAAAGGGCAAAGCTAAGAACGTAATCACCACAATAAAAACTAATGTAATGACAAGCTTATTAGAAAACAATGGGTTGAGTTTTGTGTGTTGTCTCAAATGTGGCGATGGCAGAGGCAGTTAATCAGCTTGCTGTGGCAAATGATCCAGAAAAGTCTTTATCCATTTGGGGAGAAAATATGGTAGAGAACTAACGAATGTTTTGAGGTTCGTTATCTTTATATATTTTATTATTATGAATTTTAATTTCATAGTGTGGAATTGCTAAGGTGCTAGTGACAACAATTTTGTCAAGTTGATTAGAGACTTTGTGAATCAATATCGTTGTTCCATGGTTATTATGGTAGAGCCAAGGATCAGTGGATTTCATGCAGAAAAGGTAATTAAATTTACAAGTTTTGACAAATCACACAAAGTTGCATCAGTTGGATTTTCAGGCAACATATAAATACTTTGGCAAGAAATTGTTAATATTGAGGTGATAGCGAATCATTCACAATGTATTCATATCGCAGTAGGACACCTAGTGGGAAATCTTTGGAACTTATCTGCAATTCATGGTCATTCGAATCCATCTATTAGAACTACTTTATGGGAGGAGCTTCCAAGATTTGCTAGATCTGTTACAAAACCATGGCTGGTAATAGGTGATTTTTACTCTTTCTTATTTTCACATGAAAAATCTAGAGGGCTTATAAGGGGTAGTCAACCTTGTTTTCATTTTCAAAAGTTTGTAAATGATTTCGAATTGATGGATCTTTGGTTTAAGGGACCTAAATTTACTTGGAAAAGAGGTATGGTTTCCGAGTGGCTTGATAGAGCAGTTTGTAACATGCAATGGAGGCTAGATCTCAGTGATGCAGTAGTTAAACACCTTTCGAGGGTCAGTTAGGATCATAGATCATTATCAATTTCAACGAGGGAAGATTGTAATGTAAATAGAACACAGAACTTTCAATTCCAAGCAGCATGGTTGTGACATGATGGATTTAAGGAGTTTGTGAAACAAGCTTGGGATTTTTCGAGCAGCATTCATGTAGCTTTGGTGAATTTTTTTGAGAAAGCCTGGCAGTGGAACAAAAAGGTGTTTGGCAATATCTTTTATAGGAAAAAAAGATTACTAGCAAGATTGAATGGGGTTGAAAATGCACTAGAACTATGACCTTCCAATTATCTAAGAGAATTGGTGTACAAATTATGACTGAAATATGACACCGTATTGAAGCAAAAGGAAGCGTTTTGGTTTCAAAAATCCAAGGCAGACTGGTTAAAGTTGGGTGACTATAACACTAAATATTTGCACCTTCGTGTGATGAGAAAGCGTTACAAGTTAAAAATTTTACGACTTAGAGTTGCGAATGAGGAATGGTGTGATGATTAAAGGCATTTGCAATTGGATGCTGTGGATTTTTTCAAGCACATATACTGCAAGGAAAGTAATGAAATCCTATCATATCTAATCCGAAATGGCTTTCCTAGACTTCCAGAGGAAGTATATGACTTTATGGGACGTTCAGTTGATGAGGATGAAGTTCGTGAAGCACTCTTTGAGACGAAGCCACTCAAAGCATCGAGGTTGGATGGTTTTCCAGCTTTATTCTTTCAATCTCAATGGTAGCTGGTGGGACAAAAATTAGTGGATTATGTTCAGGCTATCTTTAATAGGGCAAATATTGGTGCCAATCTGTGTAGTTCTTTGATTGTCTTGATTCCTAAAGTTAGGGATCTTGAGTATATTACGCAATTTAGACCCATTAGTTTATTGTTGGTGGCTTTCAAAGTTTTAATGAAAGTGGTAGTCAAGAGATTAAAACCATAGATGCATCTATTGATAGACAAACCACAAGCTAGTTTTATTCCAAGGAGACATTGTTGATAATATAATTATTACTCAGGACGTATTGCATTCTTTGCATAATAAATAGGGACAAAAGGGATGGATGGTGATTAAGACTGACCTGGAGAAAGCTTACGACCAACTAAGGTGGGAGTTCATTCATGATTCACTTTTGGAAGCCAGAATCTCGAATAACATAGTTTATATTTTAGCTAAAAGCTGGAGTTGCCGTAGTTCTCACATCTCATGGAATGGTGTGTGCTCCTATAAATTCTTACCCTCGAGAAGAATGTGTCAAGGAGATCCACTGGCTCCCTATTTATTGGTACTATGTCTAGAAAGATTA